GTCTGAATTGTTCTCTTTGAGAATGGTTATTCCCCCTCTTATGTGATTTAATTCATCTGAAAGTATTAAATATGTAATCAATGTGATAGTCAATATTTATCAGACACGTTGTAAAGTTCAAACTGTTATAGCAGATATTGGCAGTTTAATTCTTGGATCACAGAGGCTTGGATTATGTTCTGTCCTCCTTCAGCCTCCTGGTTAGCACAGTAGTGCATGGATGTGTCCTGCTTCAACCCTTCCTGCCAAATCTTGAGATGGTAATTCGAGAAATGAAGCTGTGTGCAGAACTTGGACCAAATCAGTTACTGTACTTAAATGATTCAGAAAGTCATATTTTTCTGGTGGCGCACAAAAAGCAGTTTACAAAGGCTGGGTTCTCCTGCCTTGCTCAACCAAATCAGTGAAGAACCTTGCATCCACACTTGCACAACATGCTAAATTTAGTTACTTCTGTTTATTATTTTTTTGCAGTTTAGCATACTGTGCATAAGTAGTGTGGTTAGTTTGTGGTTCAGTGTATTTGTGAAATCAGAACATTGGATGAATTTCACAAACAAGTTGGACATTTTTTCTAAACTCAGCCTTTAACTTTATGGTTCAATGTTTGTGCAAACCCAGAAGATGGATTAATGCAGTGACCAGATGAAGCAGCTAACTTGGCATTTGGTACCAGAGGTTTCAAGCACCTGAGCCAAAAATGTGTACAAGAAGAAGGTCCTGATTCAGCTCAGCTATACAAAACTCACAAATTGCAGATCCAAATCCACAATAGAAAAGCAACTAAAAAGAGAAAGAGGCAAGCCAGCTGACAGGTTGCTTTTGACACCATCCATCTCTGAGCCTATAGGGTTCAGGTGAAGGTTTCACAGGTGTGTGATGCCTCCCTCCCCCGGACAAAAAGGAGCTTTGAAGGAGAAAAATAGCATGAAGGGGGAGGATGCAACATGGTCCCAGTCCTGATTAGAGGACTTTGAGGCAGTTATTAAAAAATGAAATGATGGAAATGCTACCTACATATTTCCTCTTTCCCAATGTGACTATCTCTGCACAGGAGTCTAAATGTCTGGGATAAGAGGTCTGGAAATGGCCTTACCATGAGTAAAGGTGACACAGCTGTCTTAAGCAGCAGATTTTGGATGACATCAAAGAGTGGAAGCCAGATGGATCTGGTCCTTGTGGCTGTGACATAACACACTGGTGAGCCTCACTGAAATGAAAGCCAGCTGCTTAAAAATATATACCAGGCTGCCTTTTCTCATGTTATCCAGATGATTAAACTCTGTTGAGTTTTCCACATTTTTAGAGTATGTGGATATATTCAATTTCTCTTTCTCCCAAAACTGTTGACATTGGATAAATAACCCTGGAATAGCCTCATAAAGCCAGTCAGGGATCATTGTGGTTAAACGGTTACATTTGGATCTGGAATAAAGGTTTACCAAATCCTAATTAAAATACAGTTATGTATTTTATGTTTACATATCTTCTTCTCTATAAGAAATGAAAGTGGCCAAATGTAAAACTCTGTTGGGATAGGAAATCCAAAAACAACTTGAACTTTACCATCTGATGGAAAGGAATAACAAAAAACATCAGCATTATTTAACATTTGATATAATGACTCCTGGCTAGAAGGCTTATGAAAAGAAGGAACAATTTAAAACAGGTAAACTTAGTTTATACTTCCTATGTAAATAAGTAGCATTAGTAACATTGCAAGCTACTTAAGGAGATTCTGAAGGAACCTTCAGTTTGCATCTCTCTGGAATGCCGAGGTTTCCTGTCAGTTGGGGGGGAATGCTTCTGAAGGCACTTTCAACTGGCATCCACCAGGAATTTGTGGATTTCCTGTCCAAGGGTGAGAAAATAAGAATTTCATGGTCTACTTTTTAAATCTCAGTTTTAATGAATCCTGTTCTGCTCACCTAATTTTAGTGCTTTGAGAAAGAGCCAAGATGGAGAATTTCCCCACCTGTCCTGTGTGAAGGGTCAAACTGCCTGTGACCGCCCAGTACTTAAGGTGTCCAGGGCAAGCTCTCTGCTCTTGTTCCCAGGCTGTGGTGCTGACACATCCCAGAGGGTGCTGGGCTACAGCCAGGACTATTTCCTTCCACACAGCTGCTGCCCAACACATGGCAGCTGCACTCCCCACTTGCAAGCCATCCTTCCTGTGTGCCTTACACTGAGCAGTTCCTTCCCACACAAACACTGGAATATTCTACTTGAAAGGAAGGCAAGTTGTCCTGAAAACAAGCAACTATTTGGCTGGGGATTCCAGTTTTACAGTCTGCAGGACCCATATCTCCCAGGTTCTTCTATCATGAAAACTGGCCCTACTTTGCACCAAAGAGTTGCACACTTACCAAAGATGATCCTCTTTAGCTATGCCATAAATTATTTATATATACATTTATATATACAGGTAGTCCTCACTTAACAACAGTAATTGGGACCAGAATTTCACTAAGCGATGCGGTCATAAAGTGTGACATCATATGACCGTGCTACTTAGCAATGGAAATTCTAGCACTTCTGGTTGCCATCATTAAGCGAATCACCGTGGGTTGTTAAGCAAGGATGTCACGTGGTTACTATTTGTGACCTCCTGCCAGCCTCCCTATTGACTTTGTTTGTAGGAAGCCGACAAGAAGGTTGAAAATGGCAATCACATGACTGCAGGACGCTGCTACATTGTAATTGCAAGCTGGTTGCCAAGTGCCCGATTTGTGATCATGAGACTGCGGAGACACTGTGACAGCCGCAACTTCAAGAACTGGCCATAGGTCTCCTCATTCGGCACCACTGTAATTTCAAGTGGTTGCTGAACAAATAGTCATTAACTGAGGACTACTTGTATGTATGTGTATATGTATATGTATATGTATATG